GATGCATTGCAAGTGCCTGAAGTTCAGTCCATGTTGGCATCCTTCCTCGCAATCCCGACCTGTGTCAAAGGTTCCATTGACAACTCCAACACTTTGGAAGCAGCCATCGGAAGGATTGTGAAACAAAACATAGATGCGAAGGTCCTCCCGGTTTCCAGTTTTCAGTGGTCCAGTGTTCTCCGCAGCCTTGGCCAAGACGTCAAGCTGGACCAAGCTCTCCAGCTTTACAATGCACACCCCGATGTCATGGCCCATGACGACAGTGGAAGCGGCTCCATAACCTTGGACAACCGAAAGAAGCAAGGAGTGCAAAACTGGTACGAAAAGACCTGTCCGGAGGCCTTGGAGGTTGTGTTGAAGTCGACACACGACTTGGCCTTCAGCTTCGGCTGCTTCGGGGAGAGCTTTTCTTTGTGCAACTTTGCATTCTTGGGCAGCTCAGCAAACCTGACCGCGTCGGATGCAGCTGACCTGAACATGCAGCCCTTCGAAAAGGAGGCATTTGTCTCCATCGTAGTTTGGCGCAAGTATGGTGTTTGCTTCAATGCAGCAGGATCCCAGTCGCGGCTTCATTCAGTCTCATCACAGTGTGCTCGTGCAGAATTTCTGTGTGTCTAGAAGACACTCAGAAATTCTGCCGCCCAATGGTGCTTCAAGGAAACCGAGGCCCTTAAACCTAGGCCTAAACCTTGGGTTGCCTTTTATTTAAGACCTTCTGCTCAGCAAGTACGTGAACGTGGAAGAAGACAACCAACCTATAATAGCAGTAGCTGCTATTATAGCTTGATTGTCTTCTTCCACGTCCATGTAATGATACTGTAATAATAACAAATGATGCCAATGAAAACTGGAACTGGGAAGCAAGGATTGGCGGCTCCCCATGAATGCAGAGGCACAGGTACTGTTCTTCATGCGGGTGAAGGCTCAGTTTGATCGAGCCACCACCGGGATCCCTGTGAATCAGAAGAAGAAGTACAGGATGAGCACGGAAGAGCTCATGAAAGTTCGCAACACGTGTGTTCTGTTTCAGCAGTGCTTCCATTTCCTGCTTACACAGGCAGGCGCCGACGCGGAGGCGTGGCGCACAGCTTTNNTTCATTGAAGGTGTCGATGAGGATTGGAAAGTGCTCCTGGAAGCCCGCCCTTCCAAGATGGCCATGAGCATGTTGGTATCCGTGCAAGATCGGGCCCGCCAGCAACTCTTGCAGAAAGAGTCGTGCGCCATGCAGGATGTGGAAGAGCAGCGCCAGGAGGTGCTGAAAGCCGAGTGGACTCTGTTTCGCAAGAGCCTTGAGAAGGACCAGCAAACTTTGCAGCAGGCAGCCGATGCTCCGCGGAAAGTCAGATGCTTACAGCGTGCCAGGGAGGTCGAGCATCGAAATCAGCAGGCTGCAGACGGGTTGAAGGCAGCGAAGGGCTACCAGGCAGGGTATCTCAGTCGTGATATAAATCCTAAGCCCCAAACCCTGAACCCACATGACAAACTTACATGTTTAGTCAGGACACGTATCTTCGCGTCGTGAAGTTGGACAAGATGGAGCTGGCTACCGGGCAGATCTCCAAGATGAAGCTGCAGATTGTTGCTTGATCTTGGAACTAAGTAAAATGTCGTAGGAAATTTGGGAATAGGATATAAAGTTGATTTATTTATTGAATCTTTGGTTCCACAGATGCAGGGTTCAGGGTTCTTGAGAAGCACTGAATTTTCAGCTGATGCATGTTTCATTTCCGATGCAGCCGAGGCGAAGGAGTGCAAATGTGCCTTCGAAGACGTGTGCCTGCTGGGGTTTTGCGACCTCAATGTCCCATGGGCGAGAACACAGGCTGTTTGCAACTCCTTGTGCAAGGGCATCTCTATGATCAACTCGGATGGAAAAAGCATGAACAATGCCACCTTGCTCCTCCTTCCGGATTTGCCGAAGGATAAGAATCCACGCGGGTTGTACGATGAAGAGAAGCAAGTGTTTGAGGAGCTGTTCGCGTTGCATCAGCACGTCGAGACGAGGTTTGTGGAAAACTTCAGCCGGGAGAAGAAAAGTGAGGCCAAATCCAATGCTCGAAGATTCTCCTCGGGTCGCTTGGTCACTGCTGCTGAGAACTACGAGAACAACCTCTGGTTGCAGGGTGAACTTGCTCTGCACGGGCGTCCCATTGGTGCGAGGGAGCAGGAGGCGGGTGCTCCTACTTGCCTCTTGCCCAAGCAGGCTGAGCTGTTGCTGCCGGAAAGCGGCAGTGCCAATTCAGATCTTCGACTCTCGGATCGGCCAAGGCCCTCCCCAGAACAAACGGCTGCTCAAAAAGGAGTCGAGAGGATCAAGACTCTCCTGGACGCTTGCATCCGCGGAGTGTCCGTACCAGGACCTGTTCTCCTGGTCAATTTGACGGGGTATGTGGAGGAGACCGGCACAGCCGTGGGGTTGCCCAGCATTTTCTCCATTACTTACAACAAACAAGATAGGCTTAGGTTTCGGGGTTTCGGGGTTTCAGGGTGTTGAGCCTGAGGCGCTTGCCTTGCGGCTTCGAGGACAGATGGGTGGCGAAGGCTTGCAAGGCTTCCACTACCAGAAGTTGTACTATCTGTCGCTGCACAGCATCGACAAGGAAGTTGCTTGGCCATACGCCAACTCACGGATGATCCGGGAGATCATGGATGCTTGGCTGGACAAGAAGTTCAGCCACGCCGGCCTCGCCTACGATAACTCGAATGCCGGGTTGTCAGACCAGGTAGCTTGACTTGGAAAAGATAAGGTTCGTTGGCGGCCATGTGATTGTCTAGAGCCTTTGAAATGCAATCGGTTTCTTAGATCATGTGGTGCACAGAGTCAGGAGCTGAAGGGCATCCCTGGTGCCGGAGTTCTCAAGTCAGCGGACAGTCTCAAGTTGGACGTCACCGTGCGGAGTGGGACCGTCATTGAGATCCACCCGGACCACGTCAAGAAGTGGAGCCAAACCGCTTTTGCCGACGAGTTCAGCAAACTTGCGGAGAATCACTCCTCCAATTTCAAGGAGTTGCTGAAGCCTGTGTTGGCCGCCTCATCGAGCTCTCACTCCGTTCCAACAGACGAGCCTGCAGAAGCGGAGGACTCTTCAGATGTTGCTGCAGCGGGTTCGTCCTCCCTGAGCCTCAAGACCTGGGAGACCTACGACTCCCTTCACGGCGAGGACGAAATCAGCCACAGATGTGTGTCCGAGATTGTTGGAGTGGACCTGCTGAAAAGCAAAGCTGGCCATTTCTACCTCATCTCCGAAAAAGGGAAAGTGCTCCCGAAGCATTCGATCATTGGAGGCTTTGGCACCGGAAAGCGGCTCGTCTAAGATATGGCTGTCGCTATGTCACTATGGGATGCAGTTGCAGTTAGTGTTTTCTAGACTGGTGTTATTTGGGGTTCAGACTTAAGGTTTCATTTCAAATCGCGTGTGTCACCTGTTGCCTTCATTCTTGGCCATGAAAGGCCCTAATGAAAGTTTTTTTAAGCTTCAATTTCATATCATCGTTCATCAGGTATGTGCCGGCCACGGATCCGGCTGACGGTGTGCAGCTCAAGTGGA